TAGGCTATGGCACCTACAATTCATAATTAATATTATAACTAACTGTAATTTGAGCATACATTTGAGTATATATAAAAATATAAAAATAATTAGCATGGCTTACCCCATAGTAGTATTTGTGGTAAAAATCTTAAAATGTGGTAAAGTTCTACCTCTTCTTTATAATGTAGTGATACAAAATTGTGAGGTTCTATACCTGCTTCAATTTGTGCATTCTCCAAATTTCTTTCAAAGGTTTCAACACTACCAATATTAAACCATAAACTGTTCTACAAAATGCATAAAATGATCATGTAACTTACAAGTATCTTTCCTTTACTTATTCTTATTAAGTAAATTCACTTAATTATAAACTCACCTTTCCATTTACAATATGTCCAGGTAAGAGCTTTATACGAACCCATTGTTTATTAACAAGTTCCACTTTGTCGACTATCCCTTTATTTAAACATCTAAATAAAATTGGTAGAAGTTATTGACACAAGTCTTAAGATATTTGCAGATTAAATACACTGTTTAAGAAAGAAATAGTATGATTTAATTACTGTGTTATGAAGTCTTTCCATGTGATTTCTCTTGCAGAACTACTTAGACTATATATATAGATATAAAAAACTCCCATTAATGCAAAGCCAAGAATAATTTTCTTCTCATTGTTACTATTTTTAAATGACTTATTTCCACCACCCAATTTGAATTCCCATGAAAACATATTTTTGCCATTACTTGAAGAATCAAATTTCTGAGATTGGGATTCAGACGATTGTGATTTAGAACTTTGCTTAGATGTTCCTTCTTTAACTTTCTCAGTTGCCTTTTCATTTGTTTTGTTAGAACTTCCTTCTGTAAATAACAAAATTTTAATTTGATATTGCTTATAACTATAAATTAATGATATTGAATATAACAAATTAAAAAGAATAAAATAATAACTTGGTTTAAAAAATTTTTCAAATCCTTTTGGTTGGTTATCACATAGTATTCTCCATTGCTTTTGTAACTGTTTCAATGTACTTGCTTCATTGCCATTTCTCATCAGTGATAAATATCTTCTTAACTGGAAAATTTCACAGTACTTAATATGTGTAAATGAAAAAAACATATTTAAAATATTAAAAATTTTAGAAAAATTTCTTTCAAACTAGGATACTTTGTTGTTGTAGTGATAAACTTTTTTAACTTAATTAAACAGTTTAACTTTCATGTGTGTATAGATACATATATGTGTGATAATAGATATTAAATACACAAAAATTAAGCATATCGTGAACAATACAAAATATGTTAGTATCAACATGTAATTCATGAATATTATTAAAGAAATTTATCACAATAAAAACGCATAGGTTATGTTAGGTTATATTTGTACCTGAAACATATTGGCATTTTTATAAACAGAGCTCAGAATTAATCTTTCCAATTTACACGTCGAATGTAATAATTGATGTGCCATATTTTTTGTAAATTTGTAGTCACGTAATATGATGAA